GTATGTAGGCGGTCACGCGTCCTGCATGTCGGGTCTGCATGATGCAATCCCATCATCATAACGCCATATATCACCGCGCAAAACCTCTGTCATACTTCGTCGCCGCCACCACCCGGAGGAGGAGGGGTGACGCCCACACACCTGAACCGCATCCGTGTCTTCACCTTCTTACGTTCAGGGAAAACCTTTTTCCCACTAGATTAATGGTCGTTATTTTTGTGTGGTCTCCTGCAATAACTCATTACTCAAGGAGTTGGTAAATAATGAACGGTAGATACCAGATGTGTGTGCGAGAGAGAGCGCTGTGTTTGTGTGGATGGTAGGGCCGTGGAGAGGGGGGGGGGGGCAACCTGACATGTCCGTACTTCATTTGTCTTCTGCTTCAGGCGTTTTCCTGAATGTGGAAACATACAAAAGTTGACAAAGAAGGAAAATCTTGTAGCCTAAGGAAAGTGGTGTGAGAGAGAGAGAGAGAGAGGGAGAGAGAGAGAGAAGAGAGAGAGAGAGAGAGAGAGAGAGAGAGAGAGAGAGAGAGAGAGAGAGAGAGAGAGAGAGAGAGAGAGAGAGAGAGAGAGAGAGAGAGGGGGGGGGGAGAAGGAGAAGGAGAAGGAGAAGGAGAAGGAGAAGGAGAGGGAGAGAGAGAGAGAGAGAGAGAGAGAGAGAGAGAGAGAGAGAGAGAGAGAGGGGGGGGGAGAAGGAGAAGGAGAAGGAGAAGGAGAAGGAGAGGGAGAGAGGGAGAGGGAGAGAGTGAGAAGAGAGAGAGAGAGAGAGAGAGAGAGAGAGAGAGAGAGAGAGAGAGAGAGAGAGAGAGAGAGAGAGAGACGAAACTCTGTCTATTCTTGTTATTGTGATTCATTGTTCCCGCGTCACACAACACACGCCCACCTAGTCACCAGCCCACATCTTCGTCCCCGCCCCGGCCGCAGGGTGTCGAGTGGGTGACAAGGGGGAGGGGGGGGGGAAGGGGTGCCAGACTTTGTCCACAAGTTCGCCTCTTAACGGTGGTTTAGAAGTACCAGAACAGCTCCTGGGAACCATAAAGTTGGCAAACAGACGACACTGCCAGGCCATCACTCTCGGGGCAAACTACCCCTGTGGATCCCCCTCCCTGTCCTCCGCCCACGCACCCGCCTCCGCCCCCTCCTGGCGGCGCAACAATTTGTCGCTTGCCTTTGTCATTTCTTGAGCGGCTTATGGCAGCAGGGAGGATCGACCTCAGTACATCATAATTCTATCGACGAAGAAACGCAGCTCGAGTGACATCTATCGAAAACACTTCCAGCCGTGAGAGAAACGCCTATTAGTAAAAACTAACAATAAAGAAGAAGAAAAAATCGACAGGGCTCGTCACTCGGACGACGCGAAATAAAACGCAAAGCTAAACGTCGCCTCCGTGCAGAGAGACTATAAAGATAAGCGTCGTCTCCCGAGAGATTGTCAGGAGGAAAGAACGATTACGGTGAGTCTGTGGGTGCGAGGCTGTCGTAAAGCGGCGGCGACGCGCGTTCCTGGCGTGCCCGAAGACGTGAACCTTCGCCTTGGTTCACTTCCATCGGAACTAATGACTTAGGTCCCCCGTCTGACGGCTCTCCCCTCCTTCCCCTCCTCCCTAGGAAACCTGGGGAGCTGCTTCGAGGGGATGGGGAGGAACGGAGGCAGGGGAGGAGGGGAAGCGGGGGGGGCGAATTCACTACGGTCTCCGAGTAAGATATATGCTCGCGAGGAACAATGCCGACGTGTCTGAACTATCTTGCAGAGCCACGGCATTCAACTGGTCCACGGCGTAAACACGCGACACCTGTGTGTGCGTGCGGGGATAGAGAGAGAAAGAGAAGAAAAGAGGGGGAGGAGGAGGAGGAGAAGAAGAAAAAGGAGGACGACAACGACGATAACGTCGATACCGAAGACAAGTAGGAGGAAAAAAAGTGGGAAAAAGAAATAGGAGAGAGATTAAAAAGAAATGTTATATATATATATATATATATATATATATATATATATATATATATATATATATATATATATATGCTAAAAAAAACTCAAGGCAAATACCAGCTCTCGCTGGCCACCGATCGCACCTCATTATCGCCTTAATTACCAGCACTTACAAACAACAACACGGCCAAATCATGGCGGAAAAATGTAGCAACAGAGGGAAAAAAGCCTCATGAAAGATGGAGAAAGGGGACAAGTGATCGCTCGCGGAGGGCCCTCTGCACATCTCCTCCGGGGCGTCCTCAATCTTCGGTAAAAGCCCTTAGTGCTTTCTTTATTTCATTCCTCGCGGCAGAGGCGGATGCTTCGGGGGTCGTTAACGATGGCCATAAAGTAAGCAGTTGAGGCTGCAGTAGTGACGTGAGCCCAGAGAGATCGGCGGTTGGGTTAAACTGTCGCTAACGAGGGACCATTATCGAGCCCAGTTCACATTAAACGGTGCAGAGGCCCTTGTTAACTACCATAACAGTAGCAGGAAGTAAGAAACGTCGGGTATTCCTCCTGT